ACTAGTGTTTCGATTCGTACTGCTATTTGCTTGATGGTTTCGTTTGGTAATCTGCGAATTTCATTACATAAAACTCTTTGTTGTTGTTTGTTTCTTTCGGAGTCAAACATTTTTGAAAATTCCTGTGTAAACCTTTTCCAGTTTGATTTTATTTCTAGAGGTAGTACTGAAAACCATTTTTGGGCTGCGCCATCTAAGGTTGTTTGTATTAACGCTGTGCGTCGATGTATCCAATTTTGATGTAGTGGCGTATTAATTGGTTCAGGTCCAATATTTAAAATCAGGTTTGCTGTTACTGCATTTAAATAATCTTCTACAGAGTATTCAGGGTCTGTTCCTGTGAAAACCATTAAAGGTTTGTTTGATGTTATTGATGATCCACCCATAAGGTATGGATTCATTGTCATTTGTAATGATTCTGCTGCATTTGGCATTTGAGAAAAATTTGAAAGTTGGTTTCTTGTTATTTCATGTTGTTGGAGATAATATGGGAGTGGTATTTCATTTTGCATTTGTGATGCTTGATACGAGTGTGCAGTCATTGGATTTTGTTGTTGAATTGGTTGAAAAGATTGTGTATTAATTAGATTTTGTTGTTGAATTGGTTGTTGATGTTGTGCATCTATTGGTTGTGGAGAAAAATTTCTATGATTTGTACGTGTTTTCTGTATTCCTTGTCTACGATATTCTTGAGTATTTGGTGCAAATATATCTGGTTGTAAGAAATCATCATCTGAGGATAAATAATCCATTTGATAAGATGTCTGTTTTTTATTTCTATTTTGTTGAAAAAATGGGTAATTTTCACTGTGATCCTGTGGAGGATTTGTTTGGAAATTTATTGAATTAGGTTGGGTCATTGGGTTATCCCAATTTCGAGATCTTGTATATTGGTTAAAATTTCTTTGTGGTTGGTTATATGTTTTTGATGGATGTGTATAATTATAATTATGGTCTGCAAAGTTGTTTCTAGTGAATGTTTTGTGTGTTTTTGATGGTATTGTCATGGGTCTGTATGTTTGGTAATCCATATGTGAATATTTAGGGGCAACCGAAGGTTTAACGGTTGATTGTAAGGTTACCTGTGTTTGTGAAGGATTTGTATTTCTTGGTGTTGTTAAATTTGGGCGTATTGGTGAAATACTTTGTTGTGTAGTTGTTGTGTGTACAATTTCTTCATTTATGAAGTGTGATGGTGTCTGGATATCTTGTTGAGTAAGATTCCTAGTTCCATTGAGGTTTTCATTGTGTATAACTGTAGAGTTTAAACTATTATTTTGTGTATCGGGTAAAAATGTATTATAGTTTAATGGTGTTGCATCAATGGTTAATGGTATTACTTTTACATAATCTCTTATGTAAGATATCGTACTTATTGCTTGACTTGAGATTGATTGTGGGAAGCTTATAAATGCGGGATGAGACCATTCGGGGTCCCAAACATAATCTGATTGTTCTGTGATAGCGGTATCATCGTTCGAGTTTTGGGGTCTAAAATTTTTTCTTGCTTGTGCAATTAAATCAATATTGTGTGTGAAATAATCTATTATGAACCATGCCAAAATTTTTTGTAGATCGTGTTTTGTATGTTGTGAAACGTCGTCTTTCGTGAAATTTTCTTTAATGATGTTTAAATAACTAGAGAGTAGTGTGATTTCATGTCGTACTTTCAAATGTTTAGATGTTTCTGTCGGTGAGACATTTGTTATTGGGATTTCGTTTTCTAATATCGAAATATAACTATATATTATTGCGAAAACTTCATTGGTGAATATGGAGTTTGCTCTTTGTGAGTTATGATATTGGATGCTTTTTATATATTCTGAAAAAACTTTTGAAAATTCTAAATCAAGATCGTCTGTTTGAATTGTATATTTTCTATTATTATGGTTTGGTGAGGTGAATTCTATGGAGTAGATTCCATACTGTTGTGTTATGTTGCATATATCTTTTAAGTAGTGGTCTATGATTTGTCTTTTGATTTTTACATCTGGGAACTCTGTTTTACATGGACTAATTCCGGGTTCAAATAAATTTACGAGTAAATTTTGACAAAATATGTGTTGTCCTCTATCAGTATCTGCGTCTACTATAAAAGGAAAGATTTCATCATCATCTGGAGTTTCTTCACCTGGGGTGTGCGTTGAGCTCATTTTTTCGTTCGATGACTGTTAATATGTAATTATCAATGTGTCTAATTGGTTGATTCCAATTGTATAAATGTACTGGTTTGTGTTTATACTGCTTTTTTATTCTTCTTTTTCCTCTTTTTGATGAATTTGAAGTTGTTTCTGAGTCAGAAAAATATAATTGATCGTGAAGTGGGTAATTTTTATCTATTGATTCTTTTAGTTTGTAAAGTTCGTCTAAACTGTTGGTTTCTGATTCTGAAAATGCGTTTCGATTTTTTGAAAATCTTTTTCGTGTTATTTGTCTTTGTTTCGTTATTATTTTTCTTTTTAGTGTTTGTCGTTTTGTTCGAATGTATCCAACTGTTTGTGTATGAGGTGTGATTACAAGGTCGTATTTTTTGTTATCTATTTCACAATTGTGTAAAACGATTGTTTGTTTATTTCCTAGGTTTTTAAATGACATAAGGTTTAGGATGACGGATGCAAAAGGTTGTTAAATGATTTCTATTTTCCTAAACTGTTAGTTCTTACGATTTTTTGGTTAGCTTAACCTGGGTCTGTTTGTTCAGGGTTGGAGAGAAAAGTATATCGATTCCGAAGAATGATTTTTTACTTTCTCGTGGCTAGTATAAGTTAAGGTGTTAACTTACTTAATCTTACTTAGGGGTAGTGATTGTGTTCAAGGGTTGGAGAATAGTAAATCGATCCACAAGGTTCAGGTATAATTAGAACGCGAGTAGTTCGTTAGATACTATTTTAAACTTACTAAGTCTAAGATTTATCCTGGGTCTGTTAAGAGGGGGGGTCAAGTGAAGGATGAATAACCGAAGTTCTTCACTGTTTATCCTAATTTGAATGATTAGTTTTGTTTAAAAATTTCTATTAGTCTTGGGTCTTTAGAAAGGGTTGGGTAGTGAATCGACGTTTGAGGTCGTTAGACACTAATTAAGTGGGTGGGGGAGAACAAAGTTGTTCTGTTTGATCCAAGGATAAGCCTTGTTGATCAAATTTGAAATTTAATTAAGTAGAAAATGATTTAAGATCCAAGGATAAGCCTTGATGATCTGGTTTTAAAATTAAGTGAATTTAAGTTTTAATAAAATTTTAAATGTGTGTAAAGGAAAGATTTAGTGTTTTGATGATATTAGTGGGTTTATGATTGCTGTTATGTTTTAGATGATGGAGCTGGAACAACAGGATGATTTATGATTACTAACCATTTATTGTCATGCTACTAATTTTTATTTTTTATTTTTCAATAAATATTCTTCAAACATGTTTTGTATATTACTGCAGAGTTTTAGGAAAACGGTCTTAGATCTTTTTATCAATCGTTATTGTATATTAATAATTTTGTTTAGCGCCTGAAATGATTTTGAAGATTAACTTCAAGGTTTTATGTTTGCAAATGAAAATCTAAATTCATTGCCAGTAGTATTCTAAATATAAAAGTTTGTTCTGGTTTTTGCCTAACTATCATATAGCTATATGGCAAGTTTCTACTTTGTCGTATGTCGTCTCTGGTTCGAGGTCTTCTTCCAATTCCGGGTAGTTCTGTTATGGTTCGGAATATTGGCTCTGATCTATTGAGTCGTAGAGACATTTCGATTAAATTATTGTCGTATAACATTTTTTAAATGTTTTTGTCTAATTTCTAATCTATTTTGGTTAATTCTAAGCTATTAAGGTCTTGTTCGAGACTTATGGTCGCACCAGATGAGTTAGGACCGATGTGGTTAACTCATAGAGTAATTTCGGATAGGGTACACCGTCTGCTCGTCACGCTATCTTATTTTCGGCCGGATAGATTCGTGCAACTTCTTAGTCTAATACCGATCCTAATCTTACTCTTATACTATCTAGTCTCAGGTTGTTTAACTAGTCTCTGCTAGGCTCAATAGATCTAGGGTATACTGGTTTATTGCGGCTGCTGAAGTGCTCGGGAGAGTCCAACTAATTTCTAAGTTAAATTCAAATCTCTCTGGTGCTGAAATTACAAGTAACTTCAGCACTTACAAATAAGTGGGTTGTTAGTTAGATGGATCATGATTGGTTAATATTAAATACTTTACATTGGTAAAACATTTAATTTATCCAATCATAAAATGTAGTTTAGATCAGGTTCCAATTGGTTGAAACATTTTTTTGCGCATTCGGTCCTTCGCGCAGGAGGAACTCCTTCTATCATATAATTTGCCCTAAACGTTTCGTCTCAGGGTTGATTAAAAAAGGTGTCAAAACAGAGAAATTGAAATTTGTTTTTGGTCAAGCTTTTGTTGAAAATTTAACTAATGTTTAAATTCAGTTAAAATGGAAGTCTCAAAATAGATTCTAAGTTGTAATAAAGTGAGATAAAAAATTTCGTGACGCATTCTCAAATATCAAACGTAAATTCAGGTTGGGATTCAGAAGAATTTACGAGTCAGAAAGAGATACGAGTCACTATAAGAACAAACTCAAAAATAGGGTTCATTCATTATTTAATCATTTCTGTGCATTACACAAAACACAAATTGAGAACTTATTGAATGGTCAAAACAGTCGTCTAAATTCAATTCTGCATCGCATACGGATCTATAAGTTTGTGATAACAATTTTTTGGTGAAAACTTTTGGGTAGACAGAAATTCAACTGTGTTCGTTGTTGTTTGCTCATGAAGACATCACTCGATAGGCAGCTAATTGGAGTGTTTTCAAGACCGACGTAGCAACTGTAAAAAACTTTTAGTTATGAGCTCTGTGAATAAAAGTCGAGTCTAATCCCTACTTGAAAACGAATGAAATTATTTTTTTGTTTATTACAGATTTGCTGACCGAAATTGATATAACCAACAATATATGACATTTTCTAATTTTCAATGATTAATAGATGGGTATGCGCCGTTTGGATCTCTGGCGCCCCGCAACAACAGTTTTCTGCCGAGTGAGAACACAGTTTTGTTAGCACCAGGTCCTGGCTCATACAACCTCGACAAGACATCTCTGCTTCGGGGAACGAGGTACGTTTTAAGGACCATTAATCCGGGGCTAAAACACGTTCAAATCTAGCGCGGTTTTTGAGCGGTTTTTTTAGATAAACCGTTCAAAAACCGCTCAAACCGCTCATTTTGAAGCAATATTTTGAGCGCAATCGTCTAAAAAAACCGCTCAAACCGCTCAAATCTTGCTTCAAATTAGGTGAAAAATCTCGACTCGGGAACAATATCAAGGAATACTATTGCTAACTCAAAAAATTTATTATAGCCCCCCCCTCTCCTTTAATACAATTTTTTAATGCGGTATGGCTATAAATTTTTATTGTTAGGCTGGAGGCTACAATGAGAAAGTGGCAACTTAATTATTTTTCACAAAAGAGAATCCTTTATGACAAAAAAAGTCGAAAAACAGACTGTTATATTATTCAATCAAAACTCAGTAATGAAAAAGTCTATATATTTTTTGCGTTTTTGTCCATAGAAAAGTCTTCATAATCAGAAAATTCACGAATTCATCGAACAAAAATATCTGAAAAAAAGCATAAAGACTATTCAGGCAGACTTCTGGAGCTAATAATTCTAATTGATCGGAAGTTTCGAACTATTTGTCAAAATAGAACATTTGTTCACGTAAGAACATCCCTCCACCCAGACACCGGGTAAATGTAATTGAAATAATATATTTTATAGTTCTAAAAGACAGTTTTGATAGAAAAGAGCCAAATGAATAAAAAAAATACATGTATTCGTGACTCTGATTTCTTGTCTAAACTTACCGGCTGAACATCGTGAAAGTTTGTACTGTTAGATGTAACTTTTCCACCCAAGCCCAGGTACAACAAATACAATTAAAGTCACGTGACACGTCACAGTGAAGCCCTTTCAGTCTTAATTCGAGTTGCGATGAATATTTTAATTGTTTAATTGGTGCCAAGAAAAAATGTCAGACTTTTTTTGCATTGTTGAACAAAACTTTAACGCCAAATTACGACAAAAACTCACTGATAAAATAGTCATACTCAAAAAAAAGAGAAAAACTAGTTGAAGGGTAAGTTAGGATTAATCTTTCACTCAAAAAACTGAAAAAAAAACTGAAAAAGGGAGATAAAAATAACCTTTACTTCAAAAATGTAAGGGGGTGTTTCTAATCATAATATTGAGGATGAGTTCGTTATCGAGTTTTTTAGCAAACTGTTTGCTTAGCACCCTCAACAGCCAGACGAAGCGTTTCGGAAACTTCAACAAGGAAGTGCCCGGACCCTCCGAGTACAACACGAGCTCGTTCAACAGTATCGGAAACCAGTCGGCTCCTGTAGCCAGATCACACACTGTGCCAGAGGTTAAAAAAATCTATTTTTTAAAATTTTTTTTATTATTATTATTATTATGATTATTATTATGATGATTATGATTAATTTTCTTATGATTATTATGATTACTATGATTATCTAACATGCCAATTGAATTGAAAAAACTTACTATAAGAGTTTCATTGTGAAACAGAAATCATGTAAATTACAAGCTATTTATTCAGAGCTGCTAATCACGTTTTGAACATTTTAACTTTTTCGTAATTTTTATCTTAAATTTTGAGTTTAGGTCTGAACAAACAGCAGCTTAGTTTTAAGCAGTCTCGGAGTTATTAAAAATCGTTAAAAATTGTATAATCGATTGACAAAAATGAGCCAACAAAACTTATTGCAATCCCAATGCAAAAACTGCGTAATCTTGTTTTTTTTTGCCAGAACTACAAATTAGTTATATTAAGATGATTTTCAGCACCAAAGTTTTCTCCGTTAGTTTTCAATCTTATCTAGCAATTTTTGTTCAAACAAAAATTTAACTGTACAAATCAGTAACCTTTTAAACGACCTTTTTTTTAGGTCGACCAAATTGATTTTCTGATCTCTCCTAAATCATTAAAAAGACCTCAGGCAAATTTTTGAAAAAACAGGCCAAACAAAGGCGTTTTAAGGCACTTTTGGAAAATTTTGACCAAAAATCGCGTTTTTTCGGCGCGCGCACCCCCTAAAAATTAGTATATATTGGCGCCGAAGGCGCCTTTAGAACAATTTTAAGGACCGTCACCAAAAATGGATATCTCAAAATAGTACAAAGAGGGGACCATGTAATATCAAAAATAAACTTTTTTTTAACCATTTAATCACAAAAAACCTATATAAGCATGATTTTATTTTTTGCAACAACATTACAAATTATTGCTTAATAAAATATTATTCCTAGTGCAAAGGACATTCTTTGCTTTTATGAACTAATTACTTATCTTTTGTTTTCATTATGAGTAAATTAACGCAATAATTAGACCATCTAAATTGGCTAATTTTAGTTTTGGTTATTGTTCCAAATTTTGAAGAAAGGCGATTTTTTCTTCAGAAAAATTTTAACTTTTTAACTAGTCCGCTCCGGCTTTTTATAATCTGAAAGGTAATAATGCCCCGAAAACAATAAAAAATTATTTCACATGTGATAATTGCCAATTTGGCTAATTTGGGTCAAGTGACGTGCGTGTATCTCAATTGAAGCTCCCTGGCTGACGTACGCTAGTTGACGTACGCTAGTTGGAATTAATTTGACGTACGCTAGTTGAAATTAAAAATCAATTGCTAGTCGCGAATTAAAAAGTTTCAAGTTTTACAAAGCATTTGGTGGGAAAATTTTTGAAACATCTTCTGCAAAACAGCAAATTTTTTTTAAAATTTTTTTGTAAAATTTGTATATATATATACTTTTAATTTTTCAATTTGTTTCAAAACTATGACTTTTTTCTGAGAAATGGCCTTTTCTTCGAAAACTTTCAAAATTTTAAGACTTTTTCAAAGAAAATTTTTCAAAGACTTTCCTGAGATCTGATTGGGAAAACTCAGGGCTTTGCGCTGCTTCCGGCAGTCTTTTAATGAATCTTCTGATTCATTGGTGTGGTCTTTGTCTTCGCTAGTTTTAATTCGGTGATCTCTCTTTTTAATTCTCGACAACACAAATAAGCTTCAATTATATCAGCACTGGTTGACTAGTTTTTATTTCAGGCACGAAAGAGTAAGGTGGTCGTCATGCGTAAGCCAGATGCCCCCTCCATCCCCGCCCAGGCACAGGCGTATGGGTACGAAGAGACGGAGGAGGGGGTGTTGCGCAAACAGGAGCCCCCTCTGCAGGACAAAACTATCGGACCTGCTTTTTACCAGAAGGTAAAGGGGAGGGGGGAGGGGTTGTTGATCATGGCAAGAGTGAATACTTTTTTGCCTCTTTAGACTTCATCACTATCTCAATATCGTCATGAGTTCACGAGCTCAATTGCTATGAATTTTTGCGTGATTATTATACCCTCGATTTCATATTCACTATACTGTTCACAATGCACCCTGAAAACTAAATTTGAATTTTTTCATAGAAACTAAGTTGACCTTACATTTGTCAGGGAAATTGCGGCTCTTTTTTCCCTCCCACCTGCAAAATTTTACAAGTAAAATTTTGTTTACGATATCCGAATGCTACGAAAATTGGCATTCTAATTAATTAGGCAATGACAAACATATTTGGTCTTCATGTTTAACATTGTAAAACCCCTTGTTACTCCATAAAATTGATGCTTATGAGCTTATGAGTGATGGGGGGGGGGGGGGGGGGGGGGGGAGGAAGAAAAAGAGCTGAAATTGCCTTCAAGTATCAATTGTAGATTTTGGTAGCATATATTAGCAAGATTTGAAATTTGAGCTGATTTGCATTCAGTTTTTTTAAATGTTTCAATCGATTTGGCGACCAAGTTTTTTGACATGTTATTAAACCAATCTTGTTTCAATTGGTCTCCCTTTTAGGCCCTGCCTTCCGCCTTGAGCCAACGCGCGCCCAACTTCGGAGGCTATGCCCCCCGTAAGCCAGAAAAAGCCAAGTTGGGGCCAGGTCCAGGCGAATATGACCCCCACAACCCTGAAGTTTATGTGGTGGAAAACGTGAATGCCAAATACATGGAGACTAGAAGACCAGAAAGTCACGTGCCAAGGTTCACAGAAAGCATCCAAAAGGCAGAAGAAAAACGGGTAATTGAAAAATCAAGGAAACGGCGAAAAATACGGAAGCTGAAAATCTAAAAGAGGTGCAAAATTGCAGATTTTTTATCTAGTACTAGATAAGTTAATTGATTTCTTGCAGCCTTTCAGAGTTTCAATTTCCGCGTTTTTCGCCATTATTGTTATTTTTCCGTGTTTTTATCTAAATAAGATAAATATATTTCTTTCAAGCAGTATTTTTGGATCTACTTAACAACCTCTCTCCTTTTCAAGAAAGAAAGGGTGATTGTTAATTAGTTCAAGTTAGTCAAATCAGAATACAGCAAAATTAAGGAAGGGGGGTCGATTTTTCAAAAGAACCAATTTTTTATATAAATTTCTTGAACTTTTTTTGAATTGTTTCTTTTTTTTAAATTTATTAATAATGCTTAATTATAACAAATTAATCTGTTTAAACTTCAGGGCGTGCCCGGTCCGGGAAAGTACGACTCCAAGAGTATGTTTGAAAAGAGACCCCCCGTTGTGAACACAGAGGGAATAGAGGTCGAGCAGCCCCCGTTCATGACACAGGAGAGGGTATGAGCTCACAACATTTTATCAATTCCAGGGGTGAATGGTAATACACCTGTTTAATCTGAATGTGTTTGTTCAATTCTACCTTGTATTCCTTAACTAAAACGGCCAGCGAAATTTTGTTTCATGAAATTTCTTCAATATCAACTCCAATTTGAAAAGGAAACACTAAAATTTTCGTTCAAAAACACTAAGATTTAGCTAATTTGGGGAACGTTTTGGAGATCTGGTATTATTTTTATTAATTCATGATGAAGTTAAGAGTGCTGAAAATGTCGAGGGAGCAACTAATATTTTAATCTTGCTGCAGAGATTCAAAGATAGCAAGTCAATTGAGCCCGGGCCTGGGTCGTACAATGACCCCCGAAATGCACTGGAGGCGACGAAGAGGATAACAGGACTGAAGAGATCCCCCTTCGGACAGACTGCCCTCAGATTCACCAAGAGCGCCTCGGAAGCACCACGTGAGCATCCCAAAGTCCAGCTAGTTGGGAAAAGGCCTATGATTGGATCTCTTTATTTACCCTCCCCCTTTGCAAAAGTGGGTGGATTCTTTACTAGGTACAAAATTCACCTAATGCATAATCGTTGAATTAGTTCTTTTTTTTTGGGGGGGGGGGGGGGCTGGGCAATTCTTTATTAGGTACCAAAGGGGGTGAATAGTTAAAGAGACCTTACACTTAGACAGGCTGGATAGTCTTTCATAGATCCTCTGCGAATCGCAGAAACCACAATTAACCAATTATTTTCATAGTGTATTTTAGCGAGCATCAGAGACATTGGAAAACGGTCCATATAATCAAATGACTTTCATTCAAGCTTGAAACTGGATTAGAAAACGTACAAAAATTTGTATTTTTTTAAATTGTAAGCTTGAAAACAATTTATTCTGTCGAACTATTTCAAAATAATTAACTTTATAAAAAAGAACGGTGTGGAACACTGCTCCGAGAGGGAGCCAAAAATATTTGAGGCAAAAAAATTGGTCGATGAAAAAGATTCCTTAGTCGAAAACGTAAAGAAAAATAGTGGTCCAAAGTGCTGAAAAACAAGAAAAGTTAGAAAACAAACTAGTTTAAACAAACTCGAAAAGAATTTAAGAAAATTAAGAAGTTTGAAATTAAATAATCGATTAAAAAACTTCAGAAGGTAAATCCAGTTTTTTAGTATTTGAGTTTTTTGCTCAGATTTTCAGTTCGCTGTAAAATTCGGCATGATGTCTTTTTTAGACGCTACTTGGAATGCAAACCTTTGCAAGACTCTTAGCAAGATATAAATTCCTCGATAATTGTCTTCAAGATTTATGGCTTTTTTATGCAGCCAACAAAAACTTACTTAACGTGAACTTGTAGGATTTCTTGTTTTCCTAAAACCGCATAAATTCTCTTTGACGTTGAATAGTATGTGTTTTTGTGCAACTGAAATTACAAACTGTTTCTTCAATAAAAATCATTGTTTTTGATAAACAAAACTAGCAGTGAAAAGCTTTTCACTATCTACAAAAACAAGTTTTCTTTAACAATAACTGTAGTTTTTTTTTTAAAATGTTCCTTAAGAATATAGATATACTTTTATAAACAAATGGTTTCTATGTAATTCTGAATTTTCTGTATTCTATATCTTAAGGGAAACCTGTTTCAGCAGTCTCTGCTTTACCAGACTAACAGAAATTACAACAAGACTGCTCTATCAAGGCAAAGCCCTGAATGTTCCGACTACTTTTTAAGGTCTTTGGAGCAGTAATAACATTAAAAAATGCAGTGTAATTTAACAATTTTTCTGAAAATCATTCCCCACACGCCATACCAAGTGATAGATTTTTCTCTAAGTAACAAATCAAATCAAATCAATTATGGCAAATAAGCTTCGTTCAACCAATTTGGAACAATTTCTAGGACGAATTAAACATCCGCTTGCGCGTTAATAGCGCGAAATATATCGCGCGTTATTTGTCCCAAATCGGGCAAAATGGCAATATTCAAACCCCGTAACTTTAAGAAAAATGATCACAGGTAAAATATCTTTTCAAATTGCTCAGAACAACAATACTTTTGGAATGATATTTAAAAAAAATTGTCAAAAGGGCTGATTAAAAAGTCGAATTTTTTCTGAAGAAAAAACCACCCCGATCACAAATATTCTATTACTTTCCTTACGAAAGTCGGAACAAAAACTCTGAAAGTATCAAAAACAGCAAAATCCAATGAAAAATGACTTTAAAGTAGAATTCTAAATATTGCTTATTTCTTGCGAGAAGAATAAAAACCTTTCAGAATGAAAGCAAATTTGGTAAGGACTTGCAAGAAAAATAATTTTATTAATTGTGATTCTTGTGAATCGCAGAGGCTATCAGCAGGCCTTTACAAAATAATGAAATTTCTCGAAACAGTTTCTGGAAGATATGCATTCTGAGAACAATGCGGTTTTTACCCTATAACGAGCAGATTAAGTGCTCTGTATTTTTCATGATCGACTGATGCACTTCAATTAAGCGGTCGAGAGCGGACGGGACTCGACCCATTTCCAACCTTTTGGCGCTCTCTCAAGTGGTGTTTTTGTAGAAGGACTTCTTATTTCTAGTTTTGTTTGTGTTATGACCTCACTTGGAAACAATTTTTTTAAATGATTGTTATGACCTCTCATAAAGATTGAATTTAGGTATAATCAATCAGTCGTTTATAAAATGTAATAGGGCTGAGTACATCTAATGAAGAGTGTTCAAACACCGCTGGCAAACTAAAGTTGACTTACTAAAATTAAAATAATAAAAATAGAATAAATTGAATTAAAACTGATTCTTCTCTTTTTAACTAGAAAAGTGTCTCGAGTCGAATTAAGATAACTAAAATACAATTCACAACATCATCAATAGATATTATACGGAGTGTATAATTAGCTGAATTATTCGATGGTAGTTGGTGTGTTTAGCCCCAAACAGCTACAACATTGTGGGTCTGGGGGAGCAGAATCTTAGGAAGGCCTACTTGGAGAGTATGCGCAGGGGGGCGTTTGGGGGCACAGAAATACGCAACACAACCCACGTGCCCAAGTCCAAATACAACACCCCAGGTAAGAACAACAGAGATGGTCGCTTCGAGACAATATTCAACTAGTGAAGAAAGCCAGGCTCTTTTTCCTTTTATATCTGCGAACTTTAAAAATATCTTTCTTTTCCCTTTGTCTAATTGTTACAAAAATTGGCATGCAAAATAATTAAGCCATGACAAATATAAAAGACTTCATACTTAAATTTTTGAAACCCCTTGTTGCACCATAAAATTCATGCTTATACGCAGGGGCGGATCTAGGATTTTCTCGAGGGGGGGGGCGGATTTTCAAAAAAATTTCGAACATTTTGTCGAGCTTTTTTTTTAGGTCGACCAAATGGATTTTTCGAGCTCTCCCTAAGCACTGTTTTGTCCCTATTTTGGCCAATTTTTCTGCGCCGCAGGCAAAATTTTGAAAAATAGGCCAAAAAAAGCGTTTTTAGGCACTTTTTAGAAAATTTTGACCGAAAAATTGCGTTTTTTCGGCGCGCGCTCCCCCCTCAAAATTAGTATATATTGGCGCCAAATTTTAAGGTTGGTCGGCCAAAACTGGATTTCTTAACCCCTTTGGGTCGGCAGGGGGTCTCGCCTAAATCCGCCCCTGCTTATACGATAAGATATGTGTGTGTGTGTGTGGGGGGGGGATGGTGCATTGAAAAAGAGCAGAAGGTCATTTATCAATTGTAAACCTTAAGTCCTCAAAAATTTGTTGTGCTCTTCAATTTCTTGCTTTCACTACACATGATCTTGAGCGTTTTAGTTCAAAACGAAACTCAACCAAAAGCTTATGTATTTTTTAAAGAAAACAAATCAACTTTTCATCTGATGTGTAAAAATAGTATATTACCTTTAAGTAAATTACCGAATGAAAAAAATCTGTCCTTTTCCCTGTATGAGCGTAAGTGAACAAGTGATGAGTTTGATGCAGGTCCCGCTCACTACCAGACCTCGAAGGACGATCTGGCGCCTGAACTGAACAAGAAGTCTTCCATGTTCGTGAGTGGAGTGAAGAGACTACACGAACCACCCGCCATTCAGACCGTTAGTACTCAAACTAGTTACCAATAGAACACTCTCAGCCCAATTGCCCACCCACCGGAAGTAAACATTACTTTGATGTTTTTTTTTAACTTGATGTGATTCTTTTTGTTCCGACTATTGAAAATGAGGGGGAACTTTGTATTCGGGTATGTTTTAGGTTTTTTTTTCAACGCAAAGTCAGATACCACAAATAGTCATCGAACTGGGATTTCTCAAGCAGTTTGAGATGTGTTCTAAGGAAATTTTAAAAATTACAAAAAATTTTACCGGTGTTAAAGAAGAAAAAAAAAACTGGCTGTGAATTGAGTTTGAGTTTTAGTTCAATTTCGAGTGAGTAAAGCTCGCGAGTATACTTTTCAATGAAAGATAACTTGTGAAGATTTTAATAAAAGCCTTTTAAAAGTAGTTTTGATCAGGTAAACTAGTTTTTGAAAATTTTTAGCGCCATTTTGGGAATGAGAGAACTTCTAAAGTTCAAAAAATTTCTTTTAAAAATTTTTCAGGAAGTGTTTATGATTTTTTGAATAATGTTTTTGTTCTTTTGTGATTTTTCGGCAAATTTTTAAATATGCATATGTTTTGGGCTCCGTGAGGTTTGTGCAGCTCCGTTTATCAAACCACGCACAAAAAAGGACACTAATTTGAAAAAAAAAGTTGTTTCTTTGTAGTTTTTCTACAATAAGATCGAAACATTCTCTTCTGTTTGCCAATCAACCGGCGGTTTTTTTCATACTTTGATGAATAGCATGGTTAGTATGATCCTTATGACAATGATTACGGTTATTGTTCCGACTTTCGTAAGGAAAGTAACGGAATATTTGTGCTCGGGGTGGTTTTTTCTTCAGACAAATTTCGACTTTTTAACTAGCAATTTTTGACTGAGTTTTTTTCATCATTCAAAAAGTATTGTTGTGTTGACATTAAATTTGAAAAAATATTTCACCTGTGATCAATTTTTGTAAAGTTATGGGGGTTTAAGGATTGTCATTTTGGCCAATTTGGGACAAATAACGCGCGATAGACTTCTCGCTATTAACGAGTGAGCGGAGATTTATTCCGTTTTAGAAATTGATCCAAATTTCCAAATTCTTTGAAGGAAGCTTATGTTCCACGAGTGGTTTGTTACTAGAAACAAAATCTATTACTCTAGACTTTATATGGCGTGTGGGCAAATGATTTTCAAAAAAAAATCTCAAGTTAAAAAAATGTCGTTTATTTTGACACATTTTAAAGTTTTTTCAATTTTTTTTTGCTACATAGACCTTAAAAGGCAGTCGGAACATTCAGCGCTTCGCCCTGATACGAGCAGTCTTGTTATGATTATAATGGTCTCAGGACTATTTTACCCAGGACCACTGGCTCTATGCCAACTTGCCCTATACTGAATTGCCTACATGAAAACGTGTCCTATGCCAAATTGCCACATATGACAACTTGTCCTATGCCGCTTGTCCCACAATTAACTTTTCTAGTTATTTATTGTTCCGACTTTCGAAGAAAACGGAATATTTATGCTCGGTGTGTTTTTTTTATTCAGTCAATTTTCACCGATCGAAATAATAATTTTCAGCAAAATTTTTTTGTAACCCCTATTGATACTTCACCTCTGATCAATTTTTTCTAAAAGTTCTGGGGGTTTGAAATTTTTCAAACATGCCATGTTTTGGACTAAACTATGCGCACTTTGAAGAGTTTATTCATAGTGCCGAGAGCGTAACGCGAAATATTTATGCTTGGCGAGTTATCTCGCACAACAAAATCGTTCCAAATTGAATGGAGGCTAGATAATTGGTGGTCGTTTTATTTTTGTACGAATCAAAGTTTTACCTTTTGATATTGTCAAAAATGTATAAGTTTTCAATATATTTTTTTCCTAAAACTATTCGATATGAATTAAGGGACAGTCGGAACATTTAGAGCTTTGCCCTGATACACGAGCAGTCTTGTTTGATGTTCAAATCGAGTATTGATTAGGACCAGAAAGTGCTAATGATAAACTGAACTCGTTTGGAGATAAAAATGGAAACTAACTGAAATCGTTTAAATTGAGCACCAATTATCTTCTTATCCATAATTTTTGCCAATTAAACGCAAAATTTTGACAAAAATCCCCAGTTAACGCTATTGAAACAAAACAAAGCACTAATATTTTTGTTCCGACTTTCGATACGAAATTAACAGAATATTTGTGCTCGGGTGGGTTTTTTTTTCTTCAGACAAATTTCGACTTTTTAACTAGCCATTTTTGACAGAATTTTTTTACATCATTCGAAAGGTTTTGTTGTCCTGGGCTTAAATTTGAAAAGATATTTCTTCTGTGATCATTTGTCGTAAAGTTACGGGGGTTTAAATATTTTCGTTTTGGCCAGTTTGGGACAAATAACGCGCGATATATTTCGCGCTATTAACGCGTAAGCGGAGAGTTAATCCGTCTTAGAAATCGTTCCAAATTGGTTAAAAGAAGTTTATGTGCCATAATTGGTTTGTTACAAGGAGCGAAATCTATCCTTTTGTACTTTGTATGGTGTGTGGTGGGATGATTTTCATAAAAAATTTCAAATTAAAAAAAAAATTGGTTTGTTTTATTTCATTGAATTTTCAAATGTTTTTACTGCTCCATAAACCTTAAAAGGCAGTCGGAACATTCAGGGCTTCGCCCTGATACGAGCAGTCTTGTTTATTTTGCGTCCTTGTTTAAATCTTTTCTCTGCAAATATATTATTTCATTAGTGTGAGTCAAAGACGTTCCCATCAAAAAAGCTACCGGCCACATCTAACACAAAAGTTAATGACAAAAATAATCATAACTTTAATAATATTTTTATTCAATTTTTTGCCATTATTTTGCAGGAAACAGCTCCACCAGCTGCATATAATGTGGCCAAGTCTTATGACAAGACCCAAATGCCCCAAAAGCACCACAACCCCAGGTCTGAATCGGCCAAGAGGAGAGCGGGGGGGTTTTACGTCAGTGCGGAGAGGTTCAAGGGTCCCCTGGAAGCCCGATTCCTCACTACCGATGTCGAGAATCCAGGTTGGCGTAAACTACTTAGAAGTTGTAGTTAAAATCTCAATTCTCATTTATAAGTGGTACAGCAGCCGAATGTTCGATTGTTCAAACGCTCGTTCGAGGAACAACTTTCGAAGGCTCTCGCAAATATTTGGTCCCATTTGACCTGCGTGTTATTGGAGTTTTCCTACTAAGTATCTAAGACTTATTATTTTGGCGAGGACCGTTTTCTGCATACCATTCTTGATTGACACTTCTGAGCGGGTTTTCAGCACTTCTGGTGCCAAAAGTGGCAAACTTAATAGAAATCTTGTGGCGAGCATGCAAATTTTTCTGTATGAAAAGAGAAAATTTCAATTAAAAATTGACTTTCATTATGTTTCTCAACATAACCATTTGTAACGTTAATCATTATTACAATACCCATTTTAGTCTAAGCACTTCCTAAATTTTCTTCAAAGTGTCTTGGCGCCAATTTATACTAAGTTTATGAAAAGCTTTTTTTCCAAAAGTGCCTAAAAGCGTCGTTTTTGATGGGGCATTGAAAGGGTGCCCGCCAGGCAAAACAAGCGTATGGCTTTGAAACATCCTCAAAAGATTACGAAAGGATTACAACAGCTCATGGTCTTTAAAGTTTAAAAAGACATAATGTTTTTAAGTTATAAAACAAGCCAAGACATAAGTTATAATAACAAGTCTGATTTAGGTCCTGGAACATACGTTGCCAAGATACCCAGCAACGCCAAACTCAGTCTGATTGCATCCAGAGACAAGCGGTTCAAGGAGGAGAAGGAGCGCGCCCCTGGGCCAGGTGCATACGAGTTCAGTCCCCTCTATGCGGACACAGTGCTGAGGGGCACTTTCAACGCAACCCTGAATAACCCTGTGAATAAAAAGTACGAAGATCATGGGTTGTTAGCAGGAGGAAACCAGGCATTCTTGCTTGGCATATGAGCAATAGACAAAACAATAGCTATGGGCTTGCTTATGATGATCATCTCATTTATATTCTTGCAGGAAAAATTCAAAATTTTTATAGGTTACACGCTTCAACTTCTAAATTTTTCGTGAAAGAAAGACCAAACACCAAATCATTAGTCAGAAACCAACTCTCGCTTTAAACTTTTGTAATTGTCATTAAATTCGGGATAAAAAGTTGTTCTAAGCTGATTGAAAGAGCGTTGATATCATCATTTATAGAATATAAGAAAAATATTTCGATCGCCAAATTTGAACTGAAAAAACCACCCTTAGCAAAAAATTTCCGCACCTTCTTCAAAAGTCAGAACAGCAACAATCTTTCACACATAACCTTAAAACTATTTGTTGACGTTTTTTTTGCGACTAGATAGATCAAATCAAAAGCATGTTTGACCCAAACCAAACATTCAATGACCCTAATTTTTTCAAAGAAAGTCAAAATTCTTTCGGCGAATTGCAGATATAGCTTGATTATGACGCTAGTTACGTTTAAAAAAAAACAAAGTTTACCGGAACTATAAGATGTGGAACCTGATCTAAACTATATTTTATGATTGGATAAATTAGATATTTTACCACTGTAAAGTATTTAATAATCATGATCCATCTAACTAACAACCCACTTATTTGTAAGTGCTGAAATTACTTGTAATTTCAGCACCAGAGAGATTTGAATTTAACTTAGAAATTAGTTGCCTCTCCAAGAGAACTTCAGCAGCCGCAACAAACCAGTATACCCTAGATCTATTGAGCCTAGCAGAGACTAGTTAAACACCCTGAGACTAGAAAGTATAAGAGTAAGATTAGGATCGGTATTAGACTAAGAAGTTGCACGAATCTATCCGGCCGAAAATAAGATAGCGTGACGAGCAGACGGTGTACCCTATCCGAAATTACTCTATGAGTTAACCACATCGGTTCTAACTCAGATGAGAAGCTTCTTAGGGAGAAAACGATGATGATCGTTTTTTTTGGACGAATGCTCGCTCGCTTGATTACGAGCCTAAATTGTGGAATATGGTTACTTTGGAATAATAAAAATATGTTACTAAAAAGAGTGATGATACCACTGGTATGTTAAAACGACTAACTAAGATTAACAGAATATCATGAGAAAAAGTTGAGTTGCTAGTGTTTCTTTCGAAATCACTTAGAAAAGGCCCGTGTAGTCCACTGGATTTCGAATAGACACACAACTGAAAAACACACCAAACTAACATCTAAAACAACAGTCTGACAACGTTTAAAATCTTAAAGACCATTGATCCACGAGGGAAAGGTCAACATAAGAGCTGTACAGCTCTACAGCTCTTCACAGCGAACCGCTGTTGTGACCCTGCTTTAAGGCAAGAACGTTTTTTTTTAATCTAAGTAACTAAAGGGTAGACAATCTGACACTCATACTTGCTTCATTCACCCTTCACCCCAATAGGCAACAAAGTTTGACACAACAAGGATCAAAATTACTAAAATCAGTAACAAAACTCATGAGGTGTATGCAAATATGTAATAGAGCTGAGGTTTTGTACATAAAAATTTCCACTAGCACATTGTACAGTTTGAGTTAGGACCAATGTGGTTAACTCATAGAGTAATTTCGGATAGGGTACACCGTCTGCTCGTCACGCTATCTTATTTTCGGCCGGATAGATTCGTGCAACTTCTTAGTCTAATACCGATCCTAATCTTACTCTTATACTTTCTAGTCTCAGGGTGTTTAACTAGTCTCTGCTAGGCTCAATAGATCTAGGGTATACTGGTTTGTTGCGGCTGCTGAAGTTCTCTTGGAGAGACAACTAATTTCTAAGTTAAATTCAAATCTCTCTGGTGCTGAAATTACATGTAATTTCAGCACTTACAAATAAGTGGGTTGTTAGTTAGATGGATCATGATTGGTTAATATTAAATACTTTACAGTGGTAAAATATCTAATTTATCCAATCATAAAATGTAGTTTGGATCAGGTTCCACCCATCCGGGTTTTACAGAGTTTTTTAAAATTATCTTTCTGCAATTCAAAGGATGGATGATGAACGTTGGTATTGGGCGAACATCGTATTCTTGTCCGGTTTCTCTTGTTAGAGAAGTTCCAGGACGCTGGAGTTTGGGGAATTAATCGTTGTGTCTTCTTGCGACAACGACTGTGTTTCCCAACGAAATCAATCTGATTTCAAAATGGTTTGCTTGACGGGTTTTTCTGTATTATGTAGAGAACTTGTTTTGTGTTCAACCTCGTCTGGCGTGGAGGGATGCCTTGTAACTCGGATCTGTACATATACTTGAACATCGAGGTGGTCATTGGTCTAGTTCAAAGAAGTCCTTTTCTGCGAAGTCAAGTCGTACTCTAAATCCTTTGAGTTGTGATTGTGGACGGCATATCGGTTGTGGTTGGCCGTTCTTGTTCGAGTGTAGTGGGGTCATTTTGTCTTTGGATGTTCGTCTTTGTTGTTGTGTGCTGATCTATATACTGCAAGGTATAATTTACATTGTATAAAAATTTTATTAGTTCAGTTTTTTAATTATGAATTTAGTTAGTTGTTTTCACAAAAGCATTTTGTTTTAGTTCGGTTATTTTGAAGAGTTACTCACCCTTGAGTACCTCTTATTAAAAATAGAAGTGTGGTCACAAAGAGTGGATGTAGCACGGTGGGTTAGGCCGGCTATAGAGCATGCTCAGGACGTCCTCTCTGGTGGGTTAGGCCAGGAGTGGGAGTATGATTTCGTGCGGTTTCTTTGAGAAGTACTGTTATGTGATAACGTTTTATGTTGGTTTTATGTTGGTCTTTCTTACGTTCCTTTGGTTGTGTCCTTTTTTCAAAAATCAAATTGTTTTTGTTATGGGTTTGTCTTTCGACTTTTTTGTGTTTTTTATTTCTTTCTTAGACTTTATAATAGTCTTCAAAAGAATAAATTATCCAGTTTTAAACTGGGTTAATCCGGTTTGGGTACCGTTGGTTTTCTTTTCTTAGTCATGCTGTTATTTTAGATTTGTGGTGTTTAGTAAGCTGCGGTTAGTTTGTTTTAGTATATAATTCCTTTCCAACCGGGTTAAAGGAAAGTTTGAAACTTGTTATCGTGTGTTAGAGTTGTTGAGTGTGAAAACTTGAAACTGAAATTCATTATTTGAACAATTCTTTGTGGGCGAGCTGTGCGAGTTTGGATAGAATTCTTGTGCGAGTGAATGAAAATATCAAAAGGTTAGTACTGCATTTTTATTTTATTAATTTATTACATAGAATTTTAATTTTACTGCTAGTTTTTGGGGGAAATTTAAACTTATAAATTTTCATCATTTTTAAATTTACTGCTTTATGGGGGAATAATTTATAAATTAATTTACTACATTCGGTATAAATTTTATCAGATTATTTTGTGAAAAATATTAATGAAGTTTAGAATAATTTTAACAAGTTTATATTTTTTATTTTTCTTTTCTGTTTTTTGCAGATGATCGTGGTATGAAGATTAAAAATCTAAAAGAAACATGAGTAAAGAATGGTTAGTATTAATTTAAATTTATTAGTAAAGAATATTTGAAATTATACTTACCTGTTAATCGTCTGGGAAAAAACCGTGGGGGAAGATGTCGTGTATCATGTCTGATTTTGTTAGTAACTTTGCTAGTATGCGAATGATGTTTTTTCAGTTTGAAGCAGTGGCCAAAGCAGTTGAAGTGCTTTAATAGTTTTTAGTTCTTCGGTGCCAACTGCAAACTCATAAGGTGTGTTTTGAATGAGGTTATATAATTTTTGATTGTATTTAGTATTGTGGATGAATTCTAATATAGGGATTTCTATAGGTTGGATAAATTCATGTGGGATAAGGAAGGGTCTGGATTCTTCAGCATTAAAGGTCTTCGTGATGGGACAAAATATTTACATTTGTGTTATTGGGTCGTAATTGCGGAGGATGCCGTGGAGGTTAGTATCTTTGATGCAATAGGTGAAATTTAGAAAAAATGGTGAAGTGTACTTCGAGTTAAGAAACTGAAAACGGTGGTGTGGTTGTCTTGATGGAGTATGTAGATCAAAATGATTTTGTATGAAGCGATAGCATGTATATGTGTGAGTTTGTTTAGTGCGTAACATAATGTCGTGTGAACAGTGCAAATCGCGTTCATGTGGTGCAAGGAATTGAAAAGTTAGTGAAAATAATTGAAATTTTTCTTTAAAACTTTCGTAAGCTTGCATATCAGTTAGTGCTTCAGAAATGATGTGATCATATTTTCTATCAAAAATATTGAGTGTGAATACATACGATGTTTTGATGACAAATTTTTCTGTTAGTTGTGAGTTAGCGAAGCGGTCGTCATCTAAAAAATGGTCTTGATTAGTTCGGATGATATTATGGTCGTAATATTCTAGTGTAAATTCGTTAGCTCGGGGTGCAGTGAATGTTTTTAGTGATTTTTTATATCCTATATAAGTAAATTGTCTAGGTGTTAGTGTTGCGGTGAGTCTATATAGCATATCTTTATTCTTCTCTATGTCGCTATTTGTGTTAGATAGTGGCAGGCAAAGGGGATTAGTAAAATGATAATATGTTGTCCAATGAAGTGTAGACATTAAAACATGTTCATCGACAAAACTGCGTGTGTCGTTAGTGTCGTTAGGTGTGTTTAAAGTACCCTGTGGAAATGAAAGTAAGGTGATTGCTAGAAAATCTTTCGTGTTGGTGTGGTGTGGATGATTAATGTATTCGCGGGCTGTTCCTGGTTTGGTCGGGAATGGATGGTTTGGGAATTTTCTTTTAAAGGTGCGATAAGCTCGGTTAGTGCTATTTGATGATTCGGTGGATGTTGATGATTGTGCTAATGATGCAGTATAGGCTGAGGAGGGTGTAGGAGTAGGTGGGTTTGAGGATTCTATTGTGAATGAAATTTGATTTAATGTGAGGGTGTTAGGGTGTATTAGTTGTTATTGTAGGGTGATAAAATTATCAAGTTCTTGGGAGATTTGGGGAGTATCGGGAGAATTAGATGATCGGTCGGAATGAAATGGATAATAGGTTGGGGTTACTTGTGAAGCATAAGAGGGAGTAAAAACGGGCGGGAGTGGATTAT